GAATATTGAAGAAATCAATTGAGGAAGGGACGATTGACACAATTGGGGGAAAAAATCAAGCTGCGAAACTAGTTTTTCTAAATCCTTTCTTCTTATCCATGTTATTTATGTTTAATTTGATGATGTCAATTATCTCAATTATAAACTAAATCTTTAGATCTAGGGTTTGATGTAATTGACTTGAGACGTGTTTTGATTCCTATATATTTAGTTCTTTTGGATTTTTCGTTAATTTATTTGTGTTTTTTGTGTGAAATGCTTTCAATTAATTGACCACTAGTTGAATAATTGATGCGTAAATTTCAGCACTCGAGAGAGGAAAATTTTGGTGTGATCTAAGAACAATATAACCTAAGTTTCATAGATTTCGAGAGAAAGTACGAATCTTTGATACTTATTTGAATTAAGGACCACATGTATCGATAATTTCTATACATTTAATTCGGAATAGAGATATTGGAATTAAACTATAGAGATAGGTTCTATTCGGAACTGGAGAGAGGAAATAGTATTAATTTAAGGTTCTTGCCTATAAATTGAGAAAATTTTGATTGAATTAACGTTATAGGTTGAAAAACATTGTCGATAGTGCGATAAAATCATTCCCTAAGCGTTCATAATTTGATAACTTCTAGATAATTTGCTACCGTTCACTTGCCATTTTTATTCCATCTACGTCAGATTAAAATCACAATATTGATTCAACTTTGATTATCTAAATAAAGTAAAAACTAAAGAATTATAGTACTCGGTTGAAATCAAGTATCAATCCCTGTGGGTTCGACATTTTCCATTTCATCACTGTATTACAAAACTTGACACTGTACACTTGCGACATAAATCATGATATAGAAAAAGCGTGACAGATTGCACCATAAGTCAATTGATATAGTGAAAAAGTCTTGCTCGTGCCGAAGAGTTTGGTAACGGAGGACATAGATCATTACTTTAGATCGAACCTCCACAAGTATATCATTTGTATCATCTATCCCTTTTACTTAAAGTTTTTATGTTAGTGCTTACTGTTTGAATTAATCTATTTAGTCTTTACTTGCTTGAATTTAGATTAATTCTTCGAAAAAGTTTTTAAAAAACCAATTCACCCCCCTCTTGGTTAGTTATTCTTGGGCTATCATTATTTTCGTAGCATAATCCTTGATCAAAGTAAATAATTTTCAACTATCACGTCATCAAAAATTGTTTTGCTACAACACACATGACAAGTGTTCACCATTAATTTTAATTTGCATTTTGTGAAAAAAAATGTGTATAGGAGAAAACAATTTTTGATGAATCCATTGGGAATTCCCCACTTTTTGGAATTGATAAAAAATCCCCATGTATGAAACTTGAAGTGTGGAAGAAAATCTTCGAGGTGCGAAAAATTCCAGTAAGAATGATGACCCATATTGTCAGTTAGTTTAGGCATTAAAAATGGTAAAGATGACTAAAATTAAAAAATAATAATTACAGGTGTAATCCCATACTTTTTATTTTTTACAAATTACACCAAAAACTTTTATTTGTACCACTCACAATAACAAACATTTAAAACTTTATTTTTTCCCCAATCCCACCCCCACCCCTAATAAATCTTGCGGAAATTATAGGCACAAAGTTTCAAACTTTCCAATTCAAAATTAACATTTTCAAGTTTGTTTAATTTACATTTATAAAATTTTAATTATCATTAGATTTTTTAAAAAAAATATATATCTAATGATAATTAAAATTTTATAAAAGTAAATTAAACTCCCACCCACACCCCAATTCCAACTCCCAAATGACTGAACCCTAAATCCCTCCATGTTCTCCCTTTTCTCTCCCAACCATTCCCTTTCTCCCTTTTATCTTCAGCAAAGGGTGCAACCTTAAGCATTGCAACCCAAGTCATGGGTTGGTGGTGTTGCGACGATGGGTTTGGTTTTTTGATCTATTGTTGTCGTGGTGGTTTTTGGTGGTAGTGTTGGTTATCATCGTCATCATTGCAGCGATTGTCATTGTGGCTATAATCACGACTCTGATTTTGGATCTATTTTGTTATGGTATCGTCGTCGCTGTCGTGGTGAAGTAGTGATGGTTTTTGATGGTAGGTGTTAGTTTGTCTAAGATGATGGACATGGTTGTGGTGCTTTCGATTGTTGTGAGGTGATGGTGGTGGCTCTGGCAATGATTTTGTTGGCTACGATGTTGTTGAAGGCAGTGGTGATGTGATTATAGATTATATAATATTGTAATCTTAATATATTTAATTAATAAAATATATTTTTAATGAATTATTTCATAAATGAAATTTAATTAATATCTGATTTTTTTGTAATAGTAAACCTTATTTCTTAATTTTGAAATGAGTAATACTAATTCTTACATATGAAATTTACCCATAAAACTATTCTTCATCTTAAGTTCTTAACGTCTAGTTCATCTCCCTCTCCTTCCGTCTCTGTCTGTTCGTCCATCCATCTCTTATCTCTCTCTCTCGATAAAGCTTCATATTCATGGCCAGTGCACCCTCTCCACCAAATAGCAGACACACCATCTCACAAGCTCCTCCTCAAGCAATGGCTTAAAGGAGAAGAGCTAATCCTCAACAGAATCTTCCTCAAAACGACCCAAATCGACTTGGCCCGGAATGAGATCACAACTCTACTGCCTCTTCTTGCTCTTCCACTCAATTGCACTAATCCTTCTCTTCAGCTCCTCCTCTTGTGCCCCAAATGGGAAAGGCCACTTCTATAAAAAATCCTGAGCCCATCATTATGTTCTCTAGTTTGTTCACGGGGTACTTTTCAGTTTGCTCAAGTCAAACGTGCCATTTTCCATTTTACCCAAAA